TCCTATTTGCTGAATAGACTGGAGGTTCATCATTATGCACTTTAGGTCTGTAATAAAGGGCAGCATTGTTAAATTCGGTCTCATTGCGGTAGGCATCTAACTTTTAAAATTACTCCTATATTTAACAGGTTAAAGAAGAAAATTACACCATTACTATGTACTTAAATAGACTCAAACATTACCGAATAAATGGAACAATGCAATTATATAAAAAAAACTACATTTTTTAATACTTGCAAGAACTTTTTTTTTTTTTTTTACACACAGTTACACATCCAATCACCCAAACCCCCACAAAATAAAAAGAATAGTCCTATTCTACTGTTCTCTTTTAAATTTAGGCTCTTTTTCATTCAGACTCTTTCTTCGCTTTTCTCTCTATTCCTGCCTGCTCTTTGAAACTCAAACCTTGTTGATGGAAACATAACAAGCGCCTCCGCTATGGCCTATGACCTCAGCCTCTTTGCACTTCCTGTGCCCAGCTCTCTGATGGGAGGGATCTGTCGGTGCACCTGCAGTTGGGCAGGTGACAGAGGAATTCTGGGAGAAATGGAGCCTTAGAAACACAGCAGCTTCTCTCTGACACGAAGGTTAAAGCCATTGAGAACAGCAAAGATTAGAGGCTTTTTGTACCCATCAGCGTTAAACAAATTAATCTATTGCTGCTCAGCTGACTGTAAAATCTCTAGATTTACTGTTTCAATGCAGCTAAGGCCTAAGCCACAGGGTCAACCCATGCTGCCTTTCCCACAATGTCTAAAACACATATTAGAAAGCCTTTACAAAGTTTTTGTCTGCTTTTTAGGAGTAAGTATATAAAAAGAGCTGTATGCGGGTATTAGGGGAGACTCATTTTCAAAAAAATAAATCAATAAATAAAATAAATCAATCAAAATAAAATAAATGTAAAAAAATAAATAAATAAATAAATTGCAAACAGACAAAATAATAATTACAATAAATACAATAAAATAATTAATAATAACAATTTTGTCATTTACAAACATGGATCAGAAACACAATATTGTTCCATTTGGCATAATTTTAAAATGGGCTGTTTTGCTAGAATAGAATAAAACTGGCACAAAATATAAAAGAGTTACGTTTATTATAAAGTTGATTATGCTGTAGTTTATTATTTAATTATTTTATTTATTTATTTATTTCAGTCAATGGAGGCTTGGAAAAAGTGGCAAGAGAACAGTATAAAGGTATAAAGAGGGCCAATGAGCGTTGTGGCCCGGGTCAAATTGTGTCAACTCGAGTTAAGCACAGACGAGCGCACTGAAACTGACCCACGTGAGCTCAATCTTTTTACGCAATGATATGCTATTCAGAGCTCTTTACTTATTAAAATGCATCCCTAAATTAAAATGAACTAGGCTATTTATTATTGTTGTTGTTGTTGTTGTACAAACGTCTAATAAAATGCGCAAAATAATAGTGTATCCCTTCAACAAACAAATCTAGTATTTTATATACTAGTCTATTTTAAAACAAATTTTTCCTGCTAGAAAAAATGTAATAGCCTATACTTTCTTCTTTTCTCACGCTGCATGTTATATATTCAAAAGGGACCGAGAAATAGGCTACCTCTTTCTATTAAGCAATGTTGTACTTCTTTACAAAAGACATAATTACATAACATTTTAAATTACACAGCAGCGGCGCGTAAAAGTATTTTATAATGTGTAGAGAAACAAAAAAGGCAGGAAATATTTATTAGGTTTTTTAAAAGAAACTGGACAAGAGAATAAAGGGAATTTAGTACAGTAGGTGGCAGTAATGCAACACTATGGATGCCAACTGCCGTAAAACGCCAATGAAGAAGAAGAAGAAGAAGCGGCGCGTTGGCGTGACGTCACATGTGTGTGCCAAGATTCGTTTGTCAGTCAGAGAAGTCACTTGCTTTAATGTTTCTAGTTTTATTGATTCATTCCGAGGGCAAATTTTGTGTTTATGACCCAGATTATTTGTCCTGAAATTACCTGACTGATATCATTTTCTTCGTCCTTGACGTCGGTTCCGTACGATTCTAGTGTAAGTAGCTTCGGTCAGTTTGGTGTTTGTTAGTTAAAATCTGAAGGACCATACTCTATCAAAAACTTTAATAATGGCGTAAATGATTTTGAGTAAGTATTTTATGCTTTGTATATGGTGTATTTTTTAAAAGGGTTTCACCAATTGTGTGCACATTTAATTTGTTCTCATTACCGGCTAAAAGCTTGGAATGATTAAGTTTTTTTTAAAATGTTTTTGAAAGAAGTTTCTTATGTTCATAAAGTCTGCATTCTCAATTGTAATATATTCTTAATAAATGTAATTTATTCCTGTAATGTAAAGCATCATGTGATACTGAAGACTGGAGTAAATTCAGCTTTGCATCACAATAATAAATTACATTTAAAAATATATTCAAATAGAAAACAGTAGCCTAATATTTCACAACCTTGTTGACCAGAAGAGACTTCTTTCAAGAACGTAAAAAAAAACTTTTATTATTTTAAACTTTTGTTTTGACCAGTAGTGTATACTCTCATTATAATCTGGGGTGGACTAAAAAATGACACACTTCTTTGTAATGTTCATGACACTCTCTTCTAGGATGTCTCTAGGTTTCCTGAGGTTTGTTTTGAGTCAGACACTAAGCCCCAGTCCTCTTCGACCCATCAGCCGGGTCACCTCACGCCTGGCAAGGAGCCCATCAATCCTCAGGCCAGCATGTTCTTGCCATATTGTCTCGCCCTGGCTATGTACGTACTTCTCCACAGACACTGAGAGCGGGAGCACCAGTGTGACAGATTTCCAGAAGGAAACTAAAAAGCTGGACCCAAGAGCACGAGTCACTTTTGGCAGCGTGGGTAGGAAGATTGGTCAGCGCCATATACAGTTATTGGGTGAGGATGGAGAGGAATTGGGTACAATGCACCGTGCTGATGTGATACGACTGATGGACGAAACAGGGCTGAGGCTTGTTGCCATAAATGACGATTGTGATCCTCCATTATACAGACTGATGAAAGGGAAACAGATCCACGAAGAGCAGATGAAACTTAGAGACACAAAGAAAGCCAAGAAAGGTGCGTTTCAGTCCAAAAAAAAAAAAAAAACCTGAATATATGATCAAAGCTGCAATATTGCAGTCATACTACAATGAGAATCAGACTCAAATATCCAACAGTTCTCCAATATTTTTTTTAAATATACTACTTTAAGTGATAGTTGACCCAAAAATTTAAATTCTGACATTATTTACTACTCCCAAGTCATTTTAAATGACAGAAAAGTAGTCAATTTTTGGGTTAGCTATTTTGTCTTGAAACAGTCCAAAAAAAAAAAAAAACCTGAATATATGATCAAAGCTGCAATATTGCAGTCATACTACAATGAGAATCAGACTCAAATATCCAACAGTTCTCCAATATTTTTTTTAAATATACTACTTTAAGTGATAGTTGACCCAAAAATTTAAATTCTGACATTATTTACTACTCCCAAGTCATTTTAAATGACAGAAAAGTAGTCAATTTTTGGGTTAGCTATTTTGTCTTGAAAGTGTATGATTTCTGTTTCTCTAGCTCCTTATTGTGCTTCATTGAAGAAACTTTTTGTTGCATCTGCAGGGCCTGTCCAATCAAAGGAGCTCATTTTTTCCTCCGATATCTCCCTTCATGACTTGGACACTAAACTGCGGCAAGTTGTCAGCTGGCTGGAAAAAAACAACCACGTCAGACTCACCATCAGAGGCTTCAGAGCAGGAACTGACGGTGGCACACCACTGGTATGGAAACAGAATATGCATTTGTTTAGTAATTCGGTGCATTTTTCAATTGCACATCAGCCGTCTCTGTTTGTGTTGTTTAAAGTGAATAGTGTTTCACTGTGCACAAAGAAAGCTTTGAGTTGAAGGAATGTCCCAGAATCAAAACAAGATTAATGACTAATATTTTGTCTCCGAGACTGAATATAGTAATAACTTGTCTACCAGAGAAACTAACCAATGAGGAACAGTGTGAGCAATTTATAAAAGCCCACAGCAATGGCCAGTTTTGGCAGTTTATTCCACTACAGAAGAACAGAGAATGTTAAGATTCTGGAAAGTGACTTTCTGCCTTCTATGCTTTGTATTACCAGCCAATATATGCAGCTCTTAATTTCATATCATTTATATACATTTTCCATACAAAAAAATGTGGGCTTACAGTGCATTCAGGTTATACATTTTTTACCAGTATGTGTTCCCTGGGAATCGAACCCACGACCTTTTGTGCTGCTAACGCAATGCTCTACCACTGAGCCACACTATATTGAGTACTTAACATGTCATAGATGCTCTCGATAGAACTTAACTTATATTGTCCCTGAAACATTCCTTGAAAAGTAGGGTGCAATCAATCCTTAAATACTGGAAATATTAAAGGTCCCATATTGTCAAAACTGAAATTTCCTGGCTTTTTTCCACGATAACTGAGGTCTAGGGGCTATTTAACTACCATATAAGTTTCAAAACAGTCACAGTTTACTTACACACATTCATTATATAAATGTACAACCGACACAACAACTACATTTAAATTAACCGTGCAGTGCTGCTTTGAAAATGGACACAGGTACAATCTACTGCTACCTGGTAGATTTGAGGATTTTCTTTTTTTCCTTCCAAACAGGACAAAGTCTTAACACAGATGGTGGAGAGGATATCAGTGCCTGTTGGCTTTGTATCAAAACCTTCTGTGGTTCGTGGGGGTCGTGCTGCCATGTGTGTCCTTCGGCTTGCTTCTGCTAAAGAACTGCAGAAAAAAGGAGCAGAGACTTCGAACAAGAATTTAAAACCGGACTCAGAGACACCAGCATCTCTTCGTAACTCCTCTACAGAGGACTCAAAAGACTTGAAGCAACAATAAAATTCTATGCAAATTTCAATACAAAAGTGTATTTTTTCTGCAGTGGCTTACTTTGGAACAAGTTGTGCTTTAGAAAGTTACTTGGGTTCACCGGAATATGACTCATGATCACTAGGCTCTACACTAACAGCGGTTCTAAAAGGTGAACCACTGGATTTGCAGGGTCATTGAGTTCAGAATAAATAGATTTTGTTTGGCTGACAATGCTCTCTGATTTAATGGGCTCAGATTCAGAACTATGGGAGGTTTCTGCGAAGTCTGGTTTTGGAATTTTACAACTTTCAGAGCTGAAACAATGCAACTGACCAATTAATTGAGGATGCATAGTAGTTTCTGATTGGTTATTTTGTGGCACTGAAGATACACCTGAATTAGAAGTTTTTGTTTGACGTTTGTTTTTTGGTTTGTGGCCACTCAGACGGGATGCCAGGGAGCGTTTTGGGCGGGGTTTCAGCTGAAAGAGACAAGGTCAGTTATTTTCAAATTGAAAACATTTTAAACACCTATTTTTTGATATTTCATCAACCTCTGATTCAGCCGATCAGTAGTACTGCAAGTAGTTACCTGTTTCTTTTCAGGATCATGAATCACACCATGGCGCAGTAAACTTTGCTGCAGCAAAAAAATAAAAAATAAATCTGTTTATTTTGTATCCCAGATATCCCCAAATCTTTCTAAGAGTAGTAAGACAACTCAAATTGGCCAGCTTGCTGATCTAACAATAATAAATTCAGAAATATTAAGAAATCAGAAAGCGATGTGCAACTGGAGCAGGTATCAGATTGGTACAGTAAGAAACATGCAGTCAAGCCAGTCACATTTTAATATGACTGAGAAAGGCTGCCCTGAAATGACTTATGATACATCTTAAGTCATTTCATAATAAAAATTATTGACAGTGAAAAATGTTTAGAATGTAGATTTCATTAAGCCATTTCACTGTGTATGAAGTTTGAAAAACCTCCCTTGAACACCAACAAAAAACAGTGCTTAATGGGAGCAACACTAGACTGTAATTCTGTTGTGACACCACATGCATTTGCGTTCAAGTCTTTTTTTCTCGACAAAACATGTTTCCGAACTAGTTTTTCGCAACATTTGAATTATAGAATTTATGCACCAAAATTGAAATGACAAAAGAACGCTTTTCATACATTTGAAAGTTGTATCTGAATTTTATCAATAATTTTCATTTCCATTTGCTAACAATTTATGCATTAAGCATTTTAATTAATTGATTTATTTAGCAAAAAAATCCTTGGATGGAAATGCAGTGAGTGAGGCAGAACTCAGATGATGGGAAAGCACTGCTACCTTCATTGCAAAGGACTTGCCACAGCCAGGGTGAGTGCAGATGAAGGAGCGCTGCTCTTCATGGAAAGACAGTATGTGGCTCTGCAGATTGAACGCAGTGGTGTACGAGCGGGTACATCCATCTCTGGGGCAGTGGAACACCATGCGCTCTTCAGAGTGAACATGCTGATGCTGCTTCAGGAACCAGCTATCCCTGAATGTTTTCTTACACTGATCACACTGTACCCTGACTGAACACAAAACAATTACAAAAGTAATATTTTGTAACTTTCTGTAAAGTTAGGCTATTTACATTCAGAACAAAACATAGGATTACCAATATGAACTTTTTTGTGGTTTGTCATCTCTGTCCAGTTCTTTCCCACAAATGAGCAGCCCTCCACAGTGCAAGAATAGCCTGCAAAGTTATGAAAGTATGTTAGGCTTTTCACATGAAAAGAAGGGTGATAAGCATCTAATGACTTAATGAGCCAGAAAAAAAAGAACATAACCTTGTGTTTCAGCATCAGTCTATTGTATGGGAGCAGGAGACTATATTTTTCAAAACTGCAAAACTTTTAATTTATTAGCTGCTATACAGCTATACAAGAAAAATAAAGTGCTGTAAATGCCACAACATTTGTGCCACAACATAGCACACGAGCAGAGGATTTAAAAAAAAATCATTTTCATTATATAGAAAAAGAGTAGCCAGGGTTTTCTTCCAAAAAGAGTTTTACAGAAAACAAAAAAGGCATACAGGTTTGGAATGAACAACTGATCCATTCCTTTATGAACAACAGAACAAGCAGAGGACATACCTTTGTGTACCTTCTCATGACGCTTCAGTTTACCATGTTGTGAAAACCGTCTCCCACAGCCTTCATGTGAACACCTGATGATCAGAGCCATTGCAGTATTAACAGAACATCAAATGACACACAGTTCTAAGTGTTATATTATGCTAGTTTACTGAAAGAGTTAATTAATGACAAAATAAAGAGACACAGGACGAAAGAGTGTAAGTCTTACAAGAACGGTAGCAGCTGGGTGTGTGCACACTCATGGCTTTTCAGCTGGTTATTTTTCTTGAATGCTTTGCCACATCCTTCAAATGTGCACTAGAAAAAACATTATTAGAAATATGAAAACAACAACAAAAATCACATATATAATGTACCTACAGCCCTTAAAGGGGTCATATTATGCTCTTTTACAAAGTCTTGATTTTGTTTTGGAGGTGTACTAGAACATGCTCTCATACTAGGTTGTTCGAAAAACACATTATTTTTCACATATTTTTATTACATTACATCATGGTACTGAATGATATTTACATGCCAGGGCTCAATAATAAGGATGGGCCACAGAACTGTCACTTGCTTGTTTCTGCTATTAGATTTAGTGATCATGTGTTTGTAGGCCTTGTGAATATATTGTTGTTTCAGTCAGTATGGTTTTGCGTTGTATGCCACTGTTTTCCAGCAAAAGTGTTTATAGCTGAAAATAACCATCACTTACATTTGAGGTGTATAATCCAAATTTTATAAAAGTCCTCAAAAATACCATGTTACTTTTTAGTGCGTTTATATTTACTTACAATGTACTGTTTTGTCTCTTGTCTATGAATACGTGAAATGTGTTTCTTCAAGTTGGAGTTTGTGGTGAATCCTTCGTTGCATCCGTCCTCCGTGCATCTGTTAACATAGCGGGAGCAAATGACAGTTTACTATGCTATCAAACTAAAACGTATACAAAACAACAAACAAACAAAAACTCACTTGTAAGGTCTGTCGCCGGTATGTGTCAGCGTATGACGAGCAAGATGATATTTCGTGCAGAACGATTTGCTGCACAAGTTATACTCGCACTTAAATGGCCTCTGCAATCAAACAATAAATAAGCTTCTACTTCGTTTGAACTATGACAAATGTAATTTCGTTTACATTACTATATTCTAATTTAAAATGGCTTTCAGAACGTGCCATACATGCGCAAATAAAACTGAAACGTTTAATTTAAACTAAACATATTCACACAATCTTTGCTCACGTTGGCCCCGCGCTTAACGTACCTCCCCTGTATGTTTGCAGAGATGCGCTTCTAGCTTCCATGCTTTGTTGTACGACGCCTGACAGTCAGGAAACGAGCAAATAAATATTGCACTGGGTTTAACGTTAGTTTCATGCATTGTCATACGTTCAGCTACAAGGTATGGAGCTACCGCGTGTGCACCTTCATTTTGATAGCCTACGAAACATCTGACGTCACTCACAACGTACGTCAACGCTAGAACGGCATCCTGTATGGAACGCCGTTGAGGTCAAAAGCTTAAAAATGCATGAAAAACGAATGATTTTCATGATGGTTGTCTAGTTTTATAGTGTTATATAATTAACATTAAATTTATATAAATAAATATTTAAAATATTTTATGTATATTTCATAGTTTTAATTTTAATAATGCACAACCCAGCTTATCATAATACTTTGTCCATCATGTATTCTGATGACCAAAGTTTCATATTGGCATTCTTTTCCAGCGGTAGATCAAGTACAACAGAAAGTTACAAGTACAAAAAAATAAATAAAGGATGCTGCATCGGGTGTTCTTATGATTTTGAGAGGTGTTGCACACAAAAAATATAGCAGATGAATGTGTGCTTGCAGAGATGGAGTTTAATTGGACTAAATGCAGGAGAAGTACTGCATACATAAGCAGAGAGAAGTCTGACATTTTCACTGAAGATGGTATTTTTGTTCAACATTACAAGGTAGATAGGTAGGTAAATAAATAAATAGGTAGGTAGGTAAGTAATATAATGTGACTACTTTTTGAGGTAACTTGTTTATCACATTGATTTAACTAGGATAATCTTGCACTGCATTGATAAAAATACAAAGAGAAAGAAAATATATTACATTTGTTTACGACATAAAGTGCATTAAACATTACATTACATTAAGGTTTCCAAAAATGGGGTTAATGAAGGAACTGCTAACAATTAATTAAATCATAAAAATGTCAAATTAAACTAAATAATTTTAAAATAGCAACAATCAAAATGAGACACTTACTTAAAAATAAATATGTTATTTGCCAAATGAATTATAGGTAGGACACTGGAAAATTGGCAATTAAATGTTTTAGTAATGAAAATTATCTACATTAAAAAATTCTGAGCTCAAACTTGATTTTTACCCATATTTTGAAGTTACTGTACCCTGCCTTTGCATTGTCTAGAAAAAGTGAGAAGTCACACCAAGGCAAAAGGCAGTAATTTCCACATTATCAATATTTGGCTGCTTATCACCATTTACAAAATCATTAGTAACACCTGTATAAAATCTAGTGATCATGGACTGTCTCATAGGCTATTACATATAATAATGTGACTGTATTAATTGTTTTTTGACCGTAACAAGCAGACAAAAAGTTAAACATGTGAGTGATACCGTTTTGCAACCAATTTATTTGCAATGCTCAGTAACATAGAAGGATGCTAGACATAGCGTAATTGTTTCGTATTGACTTGAATGAAAATATCCTAACCTAAAAGAACAACTTGTGGATTAATGTGAACGCCAGCAAGCAGGAATAATGCTAAGAATGCTTGTGGATTAAACATCTCCGATGATGTTCATCGCCATGGATTGATTTTATCAGGTTACAAGAAAAGGTAGGATATGTATTTAATTGCGAACTGTTAGTACTGATTATGATTGATCATGCTACGCTACACCTCCTCCACTGTGAAGGGGGATCCACTCACCCGCGTAAAAATCCCATGTCATATTTACAAGAACAATATTTCATAACTGCTTCACCACAGCAAGTGGGAGCTGTTAAGAACAAAAAGAAGAAATAGAAGAAAAGCACATAAACATTTGAAATGGCAGCAACAGGCATGCAATACAATTTTACAATATGTATTATATAGGCCCACTGTTACATACATAAAAATATAAGCCAAGCAGCTTTATGTTGCATTAACTTATTTCTGCTAATCTCCACATATGATTGATCATGCTACGCTACACCTCCTCCACTGTGAAGGGGGATCCACTCACCCGCGTAAAAATCCCATGTCGTATTTACAAGAACAATATTTCATAACTGCTTCACCACAGCAAGTGGGAGCTGTTAAGAACAAAAAGAAGAAATAGAAGAAAAGCACATAAACATTTGAAATGGCAGCAACAGGCATGCAATACAATTTTACAATATGTATTATATAGGCCCACTGTTACATACATAAAAATATAAGCCAAGCAGCTTTATGTTGCATTAACTTATTTCTGCTAATCTCCACATTTTCAATGGACGTCTGTAAAAATATATGTACATGGCACATCAGTGATAAAACTCATGGATTCAGATGGTGATTTATTCACAGCTGAGAAGTGAGTTCTGTAATCCGAGGAACCTGGGACACACTGCTCACGTGGTCAGTCGCATGCTTGTCTGCTGTAAATAAAATGTAATATGCTTAATTGGAATAATGAGAATAATAATATGCTATTTATTATTTGGTCATTAAATCTCTTAGTTAAAATTCGAAACATAGATGTGCTGTAGTTGAAATGGTTTTCTTTTTCATTTTATCTCTCAAAATGATGGATGTCTTTAAAATGTGGAGACAGCAATAACTAATGCAAACTCTTATTTACATAAGGTAAACATAAAGCTGTTTGGTTTATATTTTTATGTATATAATTGTATATTGAGAATGTATTGCATACCTGTTGCTGCCATAATAATGGCACATTTCGAATATTCACATGATTTTCTTCTTTTTGTTCTTAACAGCTCCCACTTGCTATGAAATATTGTTCTTGTAAATACTTTCCAGCATTTCAATATTTTTCAGTAATAAAAAAAGTAAGGAAAAATCAGTAATAAAAAGCAAATTACAGCGAAGTGCAACAGTTACCATACGGTGTCCGGGGGTGGTCAAAAATGAACTTTTGAATCAATTTCTTCTTGTAAACACAAAGATGTGAATTCAGACGGCAATTAAATATTCACACAACCTTGGTGTTTGTCAAAAAATTTAAACAGTAAAAACAGGTAATTTGGCAGGTGTTGAGGGAAAAACACCAGCATTCTGGATTGGGATGGCAAAAAAAATCACAGACTAACCCTTGTAAATGTTGAAAATAGCTTACGTCCTCATGAGAAACAGGGTCACCATCCGATTCGGACTGATAACTGAAAACAAACTAAAAACAGAACTGTGTCGAGGGGGTGTGGTTCAGCGAAGTCTGCAGTGGGAGAGAGGGGCGGGAGACAAGCGGTGAGTAAGTAGGTCAAGTGCAAAATGATGAACACCTGTGTCAGATTACAGTAATTGGCCTGGAGAGACCGGTTAAAAGGCCGACTGGAGAACGTGGAGGCAGAGAGAGAGACGGTGACTCGTGTGCATCGCTCTGCCTGGGAGAGAAACCCGAGGAACGTCTCAGGTTACTTATGTAACCATGGTTCCCTGAGTAGGGAACGAGACACTGCGTCCTCTAGGGGTCGCTATGGGGAACGAGGCAGCAAAACTTTTCATCCACTCTATGATATTGTTTGGTCACAAGCAAGCACAACAGTTTTAAAATCAATTTAATCTCTTTACAAACAGATGCTTAAAATCAATTAAATCTCTTTACAAACAGACGCTTAACATATTTGATTAGAGGAATAATAGTTATCATTATTGCAACATAGTTCAAAAACATAATTCACTAAGTTTTGATATTTAAACATTTGGTTGATGCTTTTTTGATTTTTAAGATTTTAAATGGTTATGCACCTCCTCTATTATGCCAGTTTATAACTTAAGAAGGATAATAATGACAGAGTAACAAGAGCAAGTACTAGAGGAGACTGTGCTGTACAGTTTAGGTGTACAACATTTGGATGGTCTTTTCAGTTAGAGCCACTAATTATTGGAATACTCTACCAGCTGAATTAAGAAGTAGTACAAATGATTCGACATTTAAATGTACATTAAAGGAATAGTTAAAAGAGTAAATCAAACTTGTAATCATGTGTAAAAAAAAATTATGATACTGCCATTATTATCTTTAGTAGTGTTATTGTATGTAATTGTAAGGTTGCATTTTTAAAATGTGGCAAGGGGCAACAGATAAAAATTTGCCAATGAGGCTAACTCTGGCTCGTTTACAGTATTTTACTGTTTATTAATGAGTACCGTCCCTATTAAATAAATAAAATGTGAAAAAAGTGAAGAATAAAGTTTAATATAAGCCAATACTATTAAAATACCAATAAAGTGAGGTCTATTTTTATCAGTATTATTCTGATAAACACAAAACAATATAAGGTTATATTAAATGAAAAGTGTCAGAATAAACACGAAACACACATGAATGTTGTTATTTGTGATCGCTCACATTTGCCAACCATACAATTCTTAAACACACACACACACCTAAAATAGAAAGAGGAATAATGTGTACTAAGAAAACATGTAAACCAAATAAAGTTCTATTATACATAAAATCAATGTAATAAATATAGCAAAAATAAAATGCCTTTTATCTGACAGTGTAAAAACTGGATGACGAGTAATTTCTTCCTGCTAAATTCTGAGAGAACTGATTAATGTTGTACAGTTGCTTTGACACAATCTGTATTGTTAAAAGCGCTATATAAATAAAGGTGACTTGACTTGACTTGACAGTGTCACAACTTTTTATCCAACATACAGCATAAAACAGGGTGGGCTGCTCTATGTGGCCTGCATACTTTTCTCATCTGGTGACATGATTTTCAGGTCAAAGCCACTTAGTGACTGGAGTAACATAAAAAAAAAAGTCATGGAGCATCTATCTACACAACCACATCAGAGTGCTCGGTTACATGCATCAGATTATCAAAGTGTGTGTACAGAAAAGAGACTGTCAATTTGTTCAAGATTAGATAATTCCTACCAAGACACAGTAGAGTGCAACAAGTATGTTATGAAAGCAATAACTGCTATTTGCAGACAGCAAAAGGCACCTCTTAGAGGTCATACAGTCGAACACAGCAATGTGTTTCTTAAAGGAGACATCGGATGCCCATTTTCCACAAGTTGGTATGATTCTTTAGGGTCTTCATGAAATGTGTGCAAACTACTTTGGTTACAATTCCTCAATGGTCGTGTAAAACAACTCCCTTTTTAACCTGTCAAAAACAGCTCTCTGTTCACAGCGAGCCATTTTGGTGCATGTATCTTTAAATGATAATAAGCTACTGCTCACCCCACCCCTCTCTTCTATTTTTTGTGTATTTGG